AGGAACACCTGGGGAGCAAGACACAGACAAAACATGGAACAGAGTCTGACAACAGTGAGACAAGCAAAAAAACATAAACAATACAACCTTTTTACTAAATAATGTATGTTTACAGAAGGGATCCCCAACCCTGTTCCTGGAGAGCTACCTTCATACATACTTTAGTTCCAACACACCTGTCTGTCATTTTCAAGTAACCCAGGACCACTTGATTAATTGGTACAGGTGTGTTTTGATTAGAAGTGGAGCTGAACTCTGCTGGACAGTCGCTTTCCAGGAGCATGGTTGGAGACCCCTGTTTTTTAGCATTAAAGCGTTTAGCCAAAAATGAAAATTCACTAATTATTTACTCATGTCAGTCTTTCTCCTGCAAAACAAACAATAAAGTATTTAGCTGAATGGTCTCAACTTTTTTTGTTAATGTAGTTAATGTAGATGGTGACCAAAAGATTTTTTTAAATAATCTTAAATATATCTTATTTGGTGTTCCACAGAAGAAAGTCATACAAGTTTGGAAAAACATGTGGGTGAGTAAATGATGAAGAAGTTTCATGCTGTTAAATTATTCAATTAACATTAAGAGCTAACCTTTGCATTTCATTGTTGACAGTTGGTGAAGGCTTATTTGTATTTTTTTCAGCAGAAACACTTGTATGTAAGGCACCAGCAGGTCCATTAGAACCTGTTCTTATAAGTCTTGGCTGAGTGGGAGTACCAGTGGGGGTGTGCCGTGCTTCCTCTACACAATCCAGCAAGTTTTTTAAGGCAGTTTGCAATCGCTCTTGATGAGCCTGCTCCTGAAAAGTAATCAGAGTAGTAATTGCACTACTACAGTAGTACTACATGCATGATTCCATCTGCCTACTCATTCAAGTGCTCCAGTCTGGTTTTTGATTCTACATCATTCTTCGATATTCTACTTCATCTTTAAAAGTAAGATTAAATAGAGTTTAGCCTACTTTTACGTCCTACATTTAACAGTAATCTTTGCTATGAGATGTCATGAAATTTTGTATGAAAATGTGCTTGTGTGATTACAGGTGCTGTGAGAAAAAGTCAACACCAATACTTGTTACTTATTTCAATGTTTTTGTCGCACTCTTGTTCTAAGGTTATCATAGCCAGATCCGGTCCGTATCCAGATCAGATGATGGACCTGCACCCTGAGACGACCACAACACAGCCCTGAATGTCAGCGAAGACCACGACAAGTGAACATCACGACTGGACTAACATCAGCACAGATCCTCAGCAAAGATCACGAGAAACAGAAAAGTCCTCTGCACAGATCCCTATGGTTTTGTTTCATAATGTATTAATTTTGCAACATTTTCACTGATATTGAATTTTATTAAATCAACATCAAGCTGACACAAAGTGAATAATGAAACTTTTGTTTGCTATAAAATTCCTTATGGCTGAATTGAACTAATTCATTCTTTACAAAGTTATTGAACTGAATTGTCTTTTTCGAGGTAAAGTTTTTCATTAAATAAAACAATGTTTTTGTACAATTTGTGGTTGCATTTTATTTTTTATTTTACATCTTCATGTAATTACCTACTTTTTATAGAGTGTTTCATTATTACTGGCCAAGGAAAGTTTAGATTTTTTCAAGTTTTTTTCAAGTTTTGAATGATTTTATGGTTTATTAATATTAATAAAGGGAGACATATTATACTTTTATAGAGAAGTCTAGTCTATATAATGTTTGTTGGCTCTATTTTAGGTATTTCCATTTCTAGTTTTGGCCAGATTACCCATTTTAAATAAGGTATAGACCCACTAAATGAGCGGGTCCAGATCGGATCCGGTCCGGATGAGTTACTTAATCAGGGGGTCCTGATCGGATCCGGTTTGGATCCGTTTCTTTATCAACGGGTCCGGATCAGATCTGGGCTGGATGAACTACTTCATGAATGGGTCCGGATCGGATCCGGGCCGGATGAACCGCTTTATTAGCGGATACAGGTAGGGTCTGGACCGGATCCGGTCCGGATCCGTAATCCTTTTCTGTTCCGGATCCGTTGCGCTGTGCAAGTGGACTCTGATACGGAGTCACTTCTGACACTTCTAACACGCCCCCACATATCTACCTCACTATGTGGAAATATTTGCATAATGCCGCCCAAATGTGCATGCAAAGAAAGAACACATACCAGCTTCATCACTGTGTCTGTCACGCCACTCTGTTCCCCTTTCGGGTTCTGTCTTTAAATTTATTTTGAAAGATGAAGCTCCCGATTATGGTAAGGGGTTTTTCCGACGAGTGCTTGCGGTGTTTGCCAATCACAATGCACTGGGTCAGCTGGCCAATCAGAGCAGGAATATATATTCCTACTCCTGTAAGCCCTGTTTTGGGGTCTTTAGATCCATCAGTATAAATGTGCATACTTGCATAAAATCTTTCCTGTATATACTTATTTACATTATATTTAATACTACCCATTTCCTCCCATTCTCTTTTCTTATCCAATATCTCTAGATCAATTTTAACATCAGGAATTATCCATGTTGGTACCTCTCCCCATACAGGTGACACACTACATTCTATATTTGTTATCTGATATTTCTCTGCTAACTGATTTATATTCCATCCATATCCTCTCCCTTTGTTATTTGAGTATTCCCAGCAATTATTTAAAATATCTTTAGCTATATGTTTCCAGAATAACTCTTTAAAGACAACCAATATACCAAAGACAATTTAACTCTCCTCAAGCTCAGTGGCATTTCAGCTCTGTATCCTATCTAGATTTCTTAATAATGTTTCTGATGCTGAACCATAAATCATGCATCCGTAATCTATTATAGATCTTATCAAAGCTTGATATATTGTTAACATTGATTCTTTTTCAGCACCCCATTCTTTTCCAGCTATTGCCCTCATCACATTTAAAATCCTCCTGCATTTTTTATCTATTTCCTCAACATGCTTTTTCCAGGTATATCTCGCATCTAACCAAATTCCTAGATACTTAAAAACCTTTACTTGTTCTAAAGGTTTTCCATACAATAGTAGTTCAATATCTTTAGAAACTTATTTTTTCCTACTGACCAACATATAACATGATTTATTTGTTGACATTTTAAAACTCCATTCTATACTCCATT